GAGCGCAAGACGACGAGCCACCGCGAGCTGAAACGGCCGCGCCAGCGGTCTACCGTTATTGATCCGCCGCCCCAGGAGGCCGTCACCTGGTCGGGGCTCCTCTCGCTGCCGCGCGAGATTCACCTCGCGATTTTGAGCCTTCTCGGACCCCGGGACCTCCAAGCAGTGCGCCGCGTCTCCACCTACTTCGAGACGGTCTCGCGCGACCCGAGCCTCTGGAGGGATTACGAGGTTCGCCGCCAATTCGCGAGATCCAACCTCTCCTCGTTCGCGCCCTTCCTCTCCCGCGTGCCGCGTACGCTCGTCTTAACCTTAGCCCGAGCGACCGCCGCTCTAACCCCGGATCGTTCCATAAGCCCACCCCCGTACCCACAATCCGTACCGGCAAATCTTTCGTCGACCCTAACCGGCAACCTCTTCACCTCTTCATCAGCCCACTCGATCAATTCTTCATACTTATGCCTTTGTGAGCAATCTGCATCCCGGCCAAAGTATTTGAATATTGACTAATCAAGGCATAATACGTACAATGTCAACGGTCCTTTGAATATTTTCTTTGAAAATTTCGCCCGATTAACAACGGCTTATTGTCATTTGAAAATTCGGATGCGTGCGTGCGTGCGCGCGCGCGCGCGCGCGCGCGTGTGTGTGTGTGTGTGTGTGTGGTTGCACATGTACTAAACGCCTTTGAGGTTAAATATTAAGATGATTATCGAACCAATTGCGCGCAGTTAGGAAGGCACAACACACGAGTTGATCGTAACAATAAAATACGTCTAGGCGACAAAATCGTATCGAATTTCTTATCGCATTTCAATTGAAAATTATCTATTTGGCATATGTAATTTAGTTGTGCGATAAACGCTCTCGTCTCCTCTTTTTCTCTCGCTCATTACAGTGCCTCGACAGCTTTAATTATTTTTTAAATCAACACACACGCACGCACGCACGCACGCACGCACGCACACGCACAGAGAGAGAGAGAGAGAGAGAGAGAGAGAGAGTCCTGATATAATATCGTTCTAATCGATGTGGACTTAAGACTAATCTTCTAAATGGACATAAGCATAATATTAATCAATTTATTTGAAAAATGTGCAGATAATATTAAATCACAACATTTCCCGACCCACCACCTTCTTTCTTTAAGTAATACCTTCCGAATCCGAATTGGAAGCCCTAGATTTCTCTAAAATTCAATAACATTTTTCAATTGATTTCCATATTTGATTGATTGCCATATTTCTAATTCACCACCTAAGTGGATTAGCGACAATTTTAAGCAAACACGAGTTAAATAATCATACAAAATTATTGAAAGCTTTATTGAATTCTAATTACCTAACTAATTATTCAGCTAATATATTAATAAATTATGAAGGATGACGATATTTATATATTTGTGTAATAACTGCAGGTGTGGAACAATGATATGACTACATCAGATGTAATCAATGATTTAAAACGTATGCCACTTCTAAAGAAGATTCATATAAATAGCCGAGTCGATTCTGATGATATTTTAAGGCAGATATCATTATCGAATAAAAAGCTGGAACAACTTTATTTATCCAATTGTACAGGTACAGCGATCGTTTATTTAGCGACCAATATACTCAGGCTTTAGTGAAAATGAACTCTTAACGTCTATTATATGGATTATTGTCATAATTTTCCAAAATCGTCTGCGATGAAAATAGTTCGATAAATAGTCGATAAATAAACGATTTGTAATAAAGTATTAAGAAAAATTTATATTATATTACATTATTTTCACAATGTTTTAATAATGACGCTCGTATCGGGTCAGGTAGCTTTGCTATATCAATAATACTCTTTGACGGTCTATTGTTTTCTAATTTTAAGCAGTTTATCAAATAAATGAATTTTTACATCTTCGTCATTTTTATCATTTACAAAAACAACTAATATATATATATATATATATATATATATATATATATATATATTATTGTTTAAATTATTTGTTTAAATTATTTGTTAAAATTATTACCGCAATTCCCACCCAGTACAATATTTATTTAGCCACTCGTATACTTATGTAGAAAGTTTTCCATTTTAATAATTGTATTTTAATAATTGTATTTTAATAATTGAAAGAAAGAGCTAAGGGTAAAAATTCGTTTATATCGAATGGGGAGCTTGAACGTTTTAAGAAATATGCAATTAAGTTCCGAAAGTCATAAGTAACTGCTCAAAACTGTAAATATGGGGTAGGCTAATTGCACTTTAGGATGCGAAAGTTTTTCTTTCCATTTTTCTTTAATTTGTGAGATCGTATTATAGTTAATCGTTGCACAAGTCTGATTCTGAAAGAAAGAAAGAAAGAAAGAAAAAAAAAACCAGAAAGAAGAGACACGTCGATAAGTGACAATTTTCTTCAAATTGTCTCGTTAACCGAAATTATTGCTCGGCTGCCTCGGCCAAGCATTCCCAAGCCCATTTCCTCCGCCCTAACTCCCGTAACTTCCCATGACAGGCTCGATGTTCAACCGCTACCTGCGCCCGGCCTACCTCACACGCATCCTCGAGCGATGCCGTCGGCTGCACACGGTGAGCATCTTCGGGACGCGATTCCGCGGATTGAAATTCTACCAGCTGCTGGGAAAGGCAGGGGCTCGGTTGCGCGTCATCTCCGCGACGGCGACGCGCGCCCAATTCGAGACCTTCGCCCGGCACGCGAGTCACATCGCGGAGAAGGACCGCGACCTCATCTGCATCCTGAGCGGCGCCGCGGCGCGCAATAGCTGGGGCCCCATGCACTATCACGTGACCGAGAGGAAAGGCCAGCCCAACACGATTCTCATCAGCTACTCCATCGACGCGACCAACTTGGCCTGCCTCCAACTGCAGACACTGCCCACGACAACAAGGACAACCGCGTAAAATCCTTCGCGCCCTCTATCCATCCACCACATCCCCCCCCCCCCCAAAAAAAA